TGTCTGGGGACAGTGGAGCACAAGGGAAGTTGGGAATAATGGATATATTCATTACCTTCATGGTGATGATGCTTTCATGAGTGCATGCACATATCAAAACTCATCAAATTGTACACTTTATGGCCAATTTCTCGTACATTAATTACATCTTAATAAATTTGTAAAATAAATACATGATTATTAGAAAATCAAGGATGGGATCTCACGTGGAAGCAGGGGTGTTGGCGTTAGATAGGCTTAAAAAATATCATGAGCACATCAAACCCATCATTCCCAGCTATTATTGCTATATTTAGCATCAATTTAACGGAAAATTTCAGTTGATCATCATGTGGATCATACGATATGGCAGTGTAATAGTCGTGAGGTTGGCATGAGAATTGGCTTTGTTCAACACTCTCATTTTACAAAGAAGGAAATATTCCCTAAGGAATGCCACAAAGTTCTGTTACATAAATGATACTAATAAACCCTCATGGAGGTTACTACCTGTCTCAACGGAGTTATTGTTTCTTTGTCCTCTATGTATCCCCCCCCCAACCCGCATATCAAAACTTTACACAGCTTTCAAGACCTTTCTCAGGTACATCCATCTTCATGAAACATTTCCTTATTCTTCAAAACAAACATAATTTCTCCTCCCTTTATCCAAAGCTTCATTGTACCCAGCCAAAACTATCCATCTCACCAAGTTCTAACCAAGGAGATAAATGCATTAGTATTACACTGTTTGGAACTTTTTTTGTAAGGCTAATTCAGGCAGAAGGTGCACCCTTTGCCCTTCCCCACTTCCCTTCTTCCTACTGCTTCTAATACTTAATAGCTCAAGACTGGTGCTTCAGCTGCTGTCTGGACTATCATACCCTCCTCCACACAAAAGGCACCCCAAATAAAGATATAAGAGTGTGCGTCTTATGCAATCAAGATTTAAAATAGCCTCTAGTCTAGGCCCCTTTAATAAAGAGAGTTTTAGGGGCACCTGGGTGGTTCATTCAGTTAAACGTCTGACTTTGGCTCAGGTCATGATCTCATGGTTTGTGTGTTCAAGCCCCTCATTGGGCTCTGTGCTGACAGCTCAGAGCTTGGAGCCTGCTTTGAATTGTCTCCTCTTTCTGCCCCTCCCCCACTCGTGCTCTGTCTGTTTGTCTCTCTCTCAAAAATAAATAAACATTTAAAAATATGGGGTTTTTTTTTTGTAATTTAACTTTATTTTTTATTTTTTAAAATTTGCATCCAAATTAGTATATAGTGAAGCAATGATTTCAGGAGTAGATTCCTTAATGCCCCTTACCCATGTAGCCAATCCCCCCTCCCACAACCCCTCCAGCAACCCTCAGTTTGTTCTCCATATTTATGAGTCTCTTTCGTTTTGTCCCCCTCCCTGTTTTTATATTATTTTTGTTTCACTTCCCTTATGTTCATGTTTTGTCTCTTAAAGTCCTCATATGAGTGAAGCCATATGATTTTTGTCTTTCTCTGACTAATTTCACTTAGCATAATACCCTCCAGTTCCATCCAAATGGCAAGATTTCATTCTTTTTGATTGCTGAGTAATACTCCATTGTGTGTGTGTGTGTGTGTGTGTGTGTGTGTGTGTGTGTGTGTACCACATTTTCTTTATCCATTCATTCATCGATGGACATTTGGGTTCTTTCCATACTTTGACTATTGTTGATAGTGCTGCTATAAACATGGGGGTGCATGTAGAAAAATGTTTTTAAAGAAATTTTTACTCCATTTGAATCTAGATGATATGGTCCATTTTATAATTATTATAGCATCTCTTTTGCAATGGTATAAAGGAGATTTTTAGAATAATTCTCTTCCAGTTAAAAATTATTTGGGGATCAGAAAAAGATGGAAAGTTCTTTTGCCAATTCAAGACTAAATATAGAAATGAATATGGAGTTTTCTTGTCATTGATCTGGCTAATATACATTAAATATATGTAGATTATGTTACACATAATATATTGTTTAATATATTTAAAAGTACATACTCAGCCACTCTCAGCCTTAGTTTTCTCATGGATAAAAAAAAAATCCTGCTTTTAGCATGTTTGGGGGTAAAATGAACAAAGCTATATGTCCTCCTTAGAAGAGCACAGAAAGTCTAGCATCATTAGGACTGCATAATCTCAGCCAACTCATTTTTCTCAGCTGCTTCCCTGCTGCACACTCCCCTCCCAACATTGAGTTACACCAAAATTCTGGCCATCCTTAAATCCACCAGACTCTTTCAAGCCTTTATTCCTTTATACAGGTTATTTTCTTTATATAGAAAGCCTTTCTTTCCCTCCTCCATTGAAACTCATCTTTCAGGATTTCAATCAAGTAGTACCATAACCGAAACATTCTGGTTCCTCTAGGCTGGGTTGTCCTTCCCATTGCTTCCACTGCTCTACTAAAGGGACATTTTTATTCATTTTATTATTTTTTAATGTTTATTTTTGAGGGTGGGGAAGGGCAGAGAGAGAGGGAGACACAGAATCTGAAGTAGGCTCGAGGCTCTAAGCTGTCAGCACAGAGCCGGACACGGGCCTTGAAGCTATGAACCGTGAGATCATGACCTGAGCCAAAGTTGGATGCTTAACTGACTAAGCCACCCAGTTGCCCCCATTTTTATTCATTTTAAATGTGTTTGTCTCTTTGTCTCCCTTTTTAGTCTATGAGATTCCTAAGGGCAAATGTCTATGCCTCATTTATTTTTGTATTCTTAGCACCTACCCTAGTTCCTGACATGTAGATTGCAAAGAAAAGTTTGTGACATGGCCTAAGTGTTTCATTCGTGTCATATTTTTGTTTTTAAAGATAAATATTCATAGTATATAAGCTTATGAGTTTGAATTATATTAAATAATTTCAAAAAATTCAATATATTTCATTTTGGGAATATTTTTTTCCTAATACAACCTAACCGATTTTTTAAAAATTTAAATCTATGAATTTTTTAAGTTTATTTACGCATTTAAGTAATCTCTACACCCAATATGGGGCTCAAACTCACAACTCTGAGATCAAGAATCTCATGCTCCATGGGCTAAGCCAGCTGATGACCCTATGAATGGATTTTTAAAAAATATTTATTGCTTACATTTTCTTCTTAATAACTTCACAAGTACCCAACATAATGATTAATAAATAGAATAGTCATTTTCCAAACATAGCTGAAAAATTAATGGTAATTTGCACAGCAGTCTTGATTTTGCTTGTGCTCAGGTGTGATCACACAATTATCTGGTTTTTGGCTCATTCCACAGAGTTCTGTGATGACTTGGACTGAAAGTTGATGTTCTGTGAAATTGTTTATATTAAGCAGAAGAATACCGCTGCCCTTCAATTAATGCCATACCATTTACTAGGTGACCACTGTGAAACTCCTTTTTCCTTTCTCAACTAGTTACAGTCAAAACTGCCTGGACTGAAATCCCCAGCTCCCACACCAGCTATGTATTTGGGCAGTCAATTTGTCTGAGCCAATTTCCTCCTCTGTAAAGTGCAGATAATTATATTATCTAATTTAGAGGGATTTTCTGAGGATTAAATGAGTAATGCAAGTGAAGTGCTTGGAACAGTGCCTGGCACAGAGTGAGTGATCACATGTATATTTGTATTAACAGCCTAGCTTGTTCATTCATTCACCACATTTTTTGTCTTTGCACACAGTGAAATTGTAGAAATGTATTCTCTTCGAATTACCAGCATTTGAATTTAAAACTCTGACTGAAGAGTACTTATAAAGATTATAAAGGTGGTCCTTTAAATACAAATTAATTTGCTTAAAAAAAATTTTTTTTTTAACGTTTATTTATTTTTGAGACAGAGAGAGACAGAGCATGAACGGGGGAGGGGCAGAGAGAGAGGGAGACACAGAATCGGAAGCAGGCTCCAGGCTCTGAGCCCTCAGCCCAGAGCCCGTCGCGGGGCTCGAACTCACGGACCGCGAGATCGTGACCTGAGTTGAAGTCGGACGCTTAACCGACTGAGCCACCCAGGCGCCTCACAAATTAATTTGCATTTTAAAATCAATCAACATGTTACAATTAATCCAGGTCTTGCCCTTTTACCTTGTGTAGGTCAGGGGGGAGTTGAAACAACCAAAAGCAAAACAAAAACAGTATTTAAAGTTATACCAAAAAAATAACTTACGCTCCTCATTGCTCTTTTTTTGTTTTTAAATCTTCTTTTTTTTTATTTATTTATTTTTTTTTCAAACGTTTATTTATTTTTGGGACAGAGAGAGACAGAGCATGAACGGGGGAGGGGCAGAGAGAGAGGGAGACACAGAATCGGAAACAGGCTCCAGGCTCTGAGCCATTAGCCCAGAGCCCGACGCGGGGCTCGAACTCACAGACCGCGAGATCGTGACCTGGCTGAAGTCGGACGCTTAACCGACTGCGCCACCCAGGCGCCCCTTAAATCTTCTTTTATGTTTATTTGGAGAGAGAGAGAGAGGGAGGGAGAGCGCGAGCAGGGGAGGGGCAAAGAGAGGGAGACAAAATCCGTAGCAGGCTTCAGGCTCTGAGCTCTCAGCACAAAGCCCCACGCGGGGCTGTAACTCACCGGCCTTTGGATCCTGACTTGAGCCAAAGTCGGAGGCTCAACCGACTGAGCCACCCAGGCATCTCTCCTCATCCCTCCTTCCCACCACCCCCGCAACTTTCTAAAATAGGATAGTGCTATCTACTCCCAAAGGAAAAAGCTTTTTAGGCTGTGGGATTTAAAAAACGATTAATCCTCATGTGTCAGTCTCATAGGAGTGTCAGAATGACGAGATAAAACTAATATGTGTGCTAAAAAAAAAAAAAAACTTTGCATTTCATAATATTTCAAAACGTTAAGTAGGAGTGTTTGGCCAAGGGTGGAAAACGTCCCCCCCAACCCCCCTCCACGCCCCCCAAAATCCTCGCGTAAACCACTGCAGCGCATTTCGGGACTGGGAGTAAGTTTGACACTCGGAGGCTCCCGTAGTCTGGTTTTTTTTTTTTTTTTTTTTTAAGAACCAAGATGGCGTTGCCTACCGAGTGTCCCATGTGCTATTTCCGGTCGTACTCGGAAGCAGGATTCCCACCTGTAGCTGATTCGGTTGGTGGTGGCAGGCGGTGTGAGGTTTCTTAACACCGCTCCTGGCGGATCCAGTCAGTAGCCAGCATGTCTAACAGAAACAATAACAAGCTGCCCAGCAACTTGCCGCAGTTACAGAATCTGATCAAGCGGGATCCGCCGGCCTACATCGAGGAGGTGGGAGTGCGACGCGGCGCCGCTACAGACCGGGGTGTGACTGGTTTAGACAGTAGCAGAGGGAAGGGAGTGGAGTGAAGCTGGGATCCTGGTTCGCCCAAAGTTCTCCTGCTAGGTACAGGAGTCCCTCGGGAGGAAAGAAAAGGGGTTTATCTCCCAACCTCACAGAGGTGGAGAGACAGACAGCCCCGCCCCCCAACCTCCAACTTCCATGCGGATTTATCAGCCTTTTCCTTTCAGAAACCCCTAAGTTGAGGAAGTCTGTAACACTTGATGAATTGTATGTTAGAACGCCTTGGGTCGAACATCTGTTTCTGAGAGTCGGAAATGGACCTCCAGACATAGGATTCAAAGCTGGCAGTGGGGACAGTTAAGTGCAGAAAAGGGTACTGGTCTGGAGGGATGCCAGTGCTCTGGAAGTAGCACCGAGGAGCAGAGAGGACACCTACTGGCTCAGCAATGCTGGGCGGAAGAAAACGAGGTAGCAGTGTGTTAGGAGAGAAACAGGTTTCAATAGAGCATCAGAATGACTGGGCTACTTTAAAAAATATAATGCCCTGACCCCACCGAAGGGTTCTTGGTCCGGGGACTAGAGGGGAATAAGGGATGTCCTGGGAGCCTTGTATATTTGTGGTGACTGATGAACATAAAGGGTGTAATGATATTAGTTCTCATCATCTTAAGGCATATATTAGTGGCTGAGCCACGGGTAGGAAGGGGGGAGAAGTGAGATAAAGATCTTAGCAGCAGCACACCGAGTTCTGGGGCTCTTTCCATACTCCTGTCACAACGGCGGTATGGAGTCAAGAGAGTAGGGTCTTATCTGAAGCATGGAGGGGCGGTAGTTCCTTTTCTTGATTCCTGCTCTTGGAGAAAGCTGGGGACCTAAGAGTTTTGTTTGGGGAAATCAAAAGTTATGTTTTTTGACCATGCTAGGTTTAAGATGTCTATTAGAGATCGAGACGACAGATGTCAGGCAGTTGGAGTTACGGATTTGGAGTTCACTGGACCAGTAAGGACTGCTAATATAAAGAAATATTCATAGTGTCGCTCTCATACACTCACAATTTAAAGCTATGGTCTAGGAATGATGAGTAGATGTAGGGCATGGAACTGAGGCCTGGTAAGTTCCAACATTAGATTGTGTTGTTGTTAGAATTAAACATAATTAAATGAGAAAATGCACGTAATGACTTTGGCATATTGCAATTGCTGAGTAAGTGGAAGCTATTATTATTATTTTTGTGCCTTAAAAGAAGATGGTAATTTTGACCGCAGAGTTGTATAGTTGTGATATAATTTACACTTTCTTACCCAATATTTTTCTGCTGCTGCGAGTGCTCATATACACAGAAAATGTAGTAAGGGTCATTTGGGTAATAAATGGCAGAATAGATCCAGAATCTGAGTTTTTGACTCTGGCTTTAATGTTCTTTACACCATACCACCTAAATTTCTAATGATAAGGGAAAGGGTCTTTAGAAAAATTTGATGTATCAGTTTTTTTGGAATCTTATTTTGAAGAATGCAGATAAGGAAAAGATGTTTCTGGACACCTTTGCCATGTCTTTTTCTCCGTGCCACTATCAGAGATGTTTTAGTACTAAGTAATTTCTCATTTTTTACTGAAAAAGTCATATAATAGGAGGTGACTAACATATCTTATTTTCCTACAGTTTCTACAGCAGTATAATCACTACAAATCCAATGTGGAGATTTTCAAATTACAACCAAATAAACCCAGCAAAGAACTGGCAGAGCTGGTGATGTTTATGGCACAGGTAAGATAATAATTTCTGAAAACAAATAATAATAATTCTGAAAACAAACAATTTCTAAAACAAAGACCAGTTGTTTCACAGTTCGCAGAATATCTTTCCAGTAGTACCCAACCTTATTCCATTCAGGAATGGAAACTTAATGTAAAAAAATATTTTTTTGTTTCCGTTTCTTACAAATGTTATTTTCTTCCTGAGTTGAATTAGAAGATTTCACTAGAGCTTTTTGCAGAACCAACCAAAGCAAAACTTTCAGACTGTTTTTTTTTTTTTCAAATTCATCATAAGAGCAGATTTTAAACAACATCACACATATTTTACTAATACTGCAAGAACAATGAAAGAGGTCAGAGAGATTAGCATGTAGAATAAAAAAGAAATGATTTGGAACTAGCTACTTCTATGAAACATAGCCTTTTACTCTCCTTTTTCAGAACATCATAAATATGTGCATATGAATGGTAGGAGAGAAAAAGAAACTTCAGAAGAGCCTTTGCTTTGTTACAGATTGGTCACTGCTATCCAGAACATTTAAGTAACTTTCCTCAAGAGCTGAAAGATCTTCTTTCCTACAATCACACTGTCTTGGATCCAGATCTTCGAATGGTGGGTCTAGTATTTGGATTTGATAAATTGTGTTGTGTTTATATGTGCATGTATTATGTGTTTAAATGAGAACAGCCTCAGCTAAACATCTTAAAACATAAATCAGAATGCGTCACGAATTCCTTAAAATCTTTCTGTGGCTTCTCATTTATACTTAGAGTAAAACTCAAACTTATTAACATGGCCTATAAGTCCCTACATGATCTGCTTCTTGCCAGTGTTTTTGACCTCATCTCCTGTAGCAGAATGCTGCTCTCCTCTCTGTGATCTTTCTGTTCTTCCAGCATGCTAACCCTGCCAGGAAGCTCTTTTCCCTCTTCTGAATACGTGGTTCATTCCTTCTAGTCATTCAAATCTCAAATGCATTAAGAGCCCTAATTATAACTTACGGTTTTTACAATGCTTTATTGATTTACTTATTTTTTAATTTGAAGAGTTTGAGTAAAATTCAGTTCCACCTGGGCAATGCCAAGCTGGAATTGATTAGGAGCAATCCCGTAATGCTGAATTTAATAAATTTATTCATTAACTGGCCAGTTGGAGCATTCAAGCCTTTGTCACTGTAGTGGTTGTTATTGGGTCCTGGCTGAGATTCCCCCTTACCAGCCTAGTGCTCCCATTTCCGTCACTGGTGGTGAATGTTGGCTGCCGATGGCCCCCAGCTGCCCTCTCTCTGGTGTCTTGTCTTCAGCTAAATGAGAGCCCTAGCACCTGGGAGGTTGCCCTCCCAGCCTACAGGTTGCACCTGACTAACCCAGAGATACAAAAGCCTGGCTCTTCCCTCAACGTGGGTCCAACTTCATGTTGCAGTTTGTGCTCCAGGGCTTCTCTGTGATTGGACTAAAGCTGGTCTCCAGCCAAGGACATATCCTTCCTCAGCTTTTCTTTGCTCTGCTCTGTCCTGCTTCCTTTACTTCCCTTCTAGAAGAGAGCATACCCTGGACAAATCACTGCAATGAATCTGGCTCTGCTGCTAGGGAACTCAGCCTAAGACATTTTCAGATTTCATACATCTGCTTTTCAGATACCTCTACAGCAGGTAGAACTTAACACAAATATTATGATCACAAAACATATTGATATCCTTTGCCAAAACTTGTACAATGCTAAGTCTAGAGATTCAGCTTTGTTTCTTACTCTTACATTTTCCCAGGATTTTTCTAATTCTACCATTTTTATAATTCTTTAGGATTTTATTAATTTGATTAGGCCCAACAGAAAAAGAATACCATTCAGACAAGCCAAGGTTTCAGGCTCTGGGTTGCCAACTGAATGACTCTCACTTGGGATGTGGGACCTGGCAGCACAGCCCAAGAGACTTCAAACTCAAACTATTAGTCAAAAGACTTTTACTTATGTCATGAAACTTTTCGAGTCCTTATAGATGATACAGATTTGAGATTTTGAGTATAGAGACCTAGTGTCTTTCCAAGTACTATAATTAGATTTTCTTTAAGTTTTGTGTGTCTAACAGTACCAACTAAACTGGTCTGCAGGCGTTGTTAAATAAGTAATGTGTGTATGTTTCTTTGTCATTTCTTATGATGATTAATAGGCTTAAAAAATAATAGAGATTTCCTTTGCTAGGACACAAAGGATTGAGTCTGTGTGATTAGCATTCCTCTTTAAAAGAATCATTTGGAACAAACTGGTGGATCCTCATTTTAATTGGTGATGGTGATAACCACCAGTCCTTATCAATTACTGGACTTACTATCTAGTGTGTTTGTTTCTTCCCCAGGACTTTTTGAGTCATTCCCAAGTTTTTGTTCACTCTTTCCCGCTTACACAGCTAGAACTGACTGTGTTTCTTAATGGAAGAAACAAAATATCTATGTATATTAACTTTCACTTAATAAAATCAGTAAAATGATTTTTTTTTATCTTTCTTTGACACTGTAACCTTTTTATGCCTTTTGTTCATTTCTTTTTTTTAAGCCTTAATTATTTTTAGTCCAAATTGTTATCACCTGGCCAGTGGGAGCTTCTCAGTCCTTTTACCAAAGCCCCTGATATTTTTGAAAGCATCCTTACATTCTGGCAGAAATAGTTCCAAACCCCTTTTTACTGCTTTTCCTGCCCCAAGACTTGGAATCAATAATTCTCCAAGGATTACTTGTTCCATTAATGGAGAACAGTTGGTAGAAACCAAACCTTGGGCGATAAGGGTACTCGTGAAAGTCGGTGGTAAGCAGCCGTGCTGCAAGTGCTGTTGGGCAATTCTTGGTACTAATGATACTTCCAAGGAACGCCTTGTAAGGTCACAAATCAGGTTGATGATTCCAGATTATTGTGTTCTTGTTACCACACCTTTCTTACTTCTGTGCATTCATTGATCATGTAAGGGTTTGTCATATCTTGACACTTCCTTAAGTAGCCCTCTGTCAGTCACTGTATCAGTTATATTACCCTGTTTTACTTTATTTATGACACGTATCATTATCTGAGATACAACTGTTTAGGTGCTTCCTTGCTTGTCTGTCCCACTCCCAGTGTAAGGTGCGCGAGGGCAAAGACTGTACTATTGACTGTACTATTCTGATGCCCAAAATGGTGCCTAGTTAGAAGATATCACACTTTCTTGGGATATATGTACTCCATTTTCTCATTTTAATTTCATCACCATTATTTTATAGTATGTTTTCTTTTCCTTCCTTAGACATTTTGCAAAGCTTTGATCTTGCTGAGAAACAAGAATCTCATCAATCCATCAAGTTTGCTAGAACTCTTCTTTGAACTTCTGCGTTGCCATGATAAGCTTCTGCGAAAGGTAAAGGGCAAAATTGCTTCCCCCCCCTTATATCTCCACATTTTTCCTTGCAGTAACATTAAACTTGTAGAGTGAATTCTTGGTATAGTTAATAATTTTAATAGGAAAAAAATTGATGCTTGTGTGCATACAATATGGTGGTAATAGCTAACATTTAATGAGTGCTTGCTTTTTGCCAGCTACCATTCAGAGCTTCTTATATACTTGTTTACTTACAAAATGAGAGAAGGTTCATTATTACTGTTATTTTACAGATGGAAAGGCTAACGCACAAAGAGAGTAATATCCTAGAATCATGGGACATATTAGTGGGGAAGCAGGAGTATAAACCCAGGCAATATGGCTCCAGAACCCAAGCCTTTTCCCACTGTACTATACTGCTAGTTAAATCAGAGCATGGACTGGACACTCGTAGCTGTAACAACCCCCAACGGATCTCCCAAAACACTACTTTTTTTTGTTATAAATATTTCCCTATGACTAGTATTTGCTTGTATAAGCCAGCCTAGAAGCTGAAGGTTTGTGAAAGAAATTTACGAAAGAAGAATTTAAGTTTACATTTTATTAACTGGAGGGCCCCTTAGGTGACTCAGTAGGTCGAGCAAATGACTCTTGATTTCGGCTCAGGTCACGGTCCCAGGCGCACCCTGAGCCCCGTGGCGCACTCTGCACTGGGCTTGGAGCCTGCTTAAGCTTCTGTCTCTACCTCTGCCCCTCTCTCCTGGTTGTGCTGTTTGCTCTCTCAAATAAACTTTTTCCAAGTGTCGGTGATATTTGTATTGCCAGTATCATCTTGCATGCATTAGGGGCTAAGTAAGTAGAGCAACTTTCCTTTTTTTAAATAACAATTTTATTGTGATATAATTCACGTACAATTCATCTATTGAAAGTGTACAGTTCAGTGATTTTTAGTATATTGGCAGAGTTTGCAACCATCACACAATCAATTTTAGAATATTTTTATCCCCCCTCAAAAAGAAACACTCCTCCCATTAGCAGTAGCTTCCCATTTCCTCATCTCTGTCAGGCCTAGGCAGCCACCAGTCTACTTTCGGTCTCTACAGATTTACCTACTCCGGGTATTTCATATGAATGGAATCACACAATATGTAGTATATGTGTATGGCTTCTTTCACTCAGCATAATGCTTTCAAGGTTCATCTGTGCTGTTGCATTTATCGGTACTTCATTCCTTTTTGTTACCAAATTTATTCCATTATGTGAGTATACCACATTCTGTTTGTCCATTCATCAGTTAATGGACTATTGGGTTGTTTCCACTTTTTGGTTATTGTGGATGCTGCTGCTGTGAATATTTGTGTGGACATAGGTGTGGAAATATATTTTCATTTTTTCTTGGATATATAACTAGGAGTGTAATTGTTGGGTTATATGGTAACTCCATGTTTACTTTTCAGGGCAACTTTCTTTTACATTTTAGCTGTTGCTTTTTGTTTTGTTTATGGTGTCTTGTTATAGAATGAAAAGTGAATAAAATTAAACTTTCCCCTACATTTGTACTTTTTTCCAAATTACTCATGAGCAAGACTAGAAACGTTGGTTAACGTGTATGTGTTTTTGTTTTCCTCAGACTTTATACACACATATTGTCACGGATATCAAGAATATAAATGCAAAACACAAGAACAATAAAGTGAACATAGTAAGTACCCTTTTGTTTCCCATGTTTGCAGCATTGTACCAGCAGTGTATTGAGTCTTCCTTCTCCTCATTTTCTTTAGGTGTTGCAGAATTTCATGTATACCATGTTAAGAGATAGCAATGCAACTGCAGCCAAGATATCTTTGGATGTGATGATTGAGCTCTACAGAAGAAATATCTGGTAATATATACGTAATTGTCTCTTGAGAAATAGACTCATATTCATTTAGAATTACTACAGAGCACATACACAAATATTTTTCTTGATCTTGAGCTCTTTAATATATCTGTCATAAATTAAGTTGGAAATAAAAATATAGAGCAATCCAAATAACTAGGAACATTGGCTGCCATTTCTTGAGCACCTATATCTCATGTTACCTTGTTCAACCTTTAGAATAACATAATTCAGCTTATCTGGAATTATCCCCATTTTATAGGTAACAAAACTAAAGTTCATAGAGTTTAAGCTTAGTAGCTAGCCAAGGACAGAGCTGAAATTAAAACCGGGATATCGGGGGTGCCTGGGTGGCTCAGTCAGTTAAGTGTCTGACTTTTGATTTCTGCTCAGGGCATGATCTCATGGTTTGTGAGATCAAACCCCATGTTGGGCCCTGCACTGACAGCACAGAGCCTGCTTGGGATTCTCGCTCTCCCTCTCTCTGCCCCTTCCCCGTACTCACTCACTTGCTCTCTCTCACACAAAATAAATAAACATTAAAAAAAAAAAACTTGGATGTCAGACTCTCAAATCTGTGCTATTTCTACTCTGCCACTCTGAAAATTTTTAAGTCACTTTATCCTCTGTATGAAATACCATGTTCTGTAAACTTTGGTTTATTGATACATTGCTCCTGATTCATGTTTTTTGCTTTTCTTATTTGCTAATTTTTATTTTACTATAAAAGTAATATTCATTGCAACAAAAAAAATTGGAGAAGCTAGAAAGGTTTTTTTTTTTAATTTTTTGATAGTTTCACCACCCAGAGATGATCACTGTTAACAGTTTATGATACTGTCTCCTGTCTTCTTTAATGTGAATTTTTAAATATGGTTGGAATTTTGCCACACTAATAAGTTTTTATTCTTTTTTTTTTTTTTTTTTTAATGTTTTCATTTTATTTCTTAAAAGTGCAAGCAGGGGAGAGGCAGAGAGCGGGAAAGACACAGAATCTGAAGCAGGCTCCAGGCTCTGAGCTGTCAGCACAGAGCCTGACGCAGGGCTCGAACTTATGAACCATGAGATCATGACCTGAGCCGAAGTTGGACACTTAACCGACTGAGCCACCAAAGCGCCCCTGTATTCATTTTTTTATTTTACTTATCTTAAATAGCTTCCTATCATTAAAACTTCTTCAAAAAAAAATCTATCTTAAAAATGGCTGCATAATTTTCTGACAGAAGACTGGGCTAAAGTTTAAATGTTCACCTGTGGTTGACTATTTAGCATTTAGCAATCTATGACTTTTTTTTTTCTTCCTTTATAACCCATGACTATTTAAACTGTGTATTCTAACCTGTCAGAAATATATTTTATTGTTTAGGGGCACCTGAGTGGCTCAGTTATGCATCCAGCTCTTGATTTTGTCTCAGGTCATGATCCCAGGGTCACGGGATTGAACCCATCATTCTCTGGGTTGAGCGTGGACCCTGGCTTAAGATTCTCCCTCTCTTTCCCTCTGTCCCTGTCCCGCTTACATGCGTTTGCACACATGATCTGTCTCTCTCTCAAAAACAAAAGAAAGAAATACATATTGTTTATTTTGTGCCATTGTCAATGCTATGAAATGCAGTAGAATGAAAATTCACTTTGAAAACCTTCATTTGTCTTACCCCAGGAATGATGCCAAAACTGTCAATGTGATAACAACCGCGTGTTTCTCTAAGGTCACTAAGGTATGTGTCTGTAGTCATTTCCAAATGGAAAGTAGAGGAGATGGCTGTGTGGGAAGAGGTAGCATAGGGCATGCAGTTCGTGTTTAGTAATGCTCTCTTTGTGCTTGGGCTGCTTCCCTGGTTCATCTGTGCTTTAGAGGCGGCAAATAAAGTTAGGAGTTCTTTAAATGCTTTGTACTAAATGATGCCTTAGTGTTTGTTTCATCCTATAATTCTTGACTGTTCTTTTGTTGGGTGAAAGCACAGCTGAAAGAAATTTAAGAATATGTTAGACTTTCTGTTAGAAGGGCTACAATGTCACTTTTTTGGTGGTGGGGGGTGGGTTGGTGGCTGGATATAGAAATAAATTCTTGGCAATCTACTTGAAAGATAACAACTATGTAGAGCCTGGATTTTTTAAAATTATTTATATTTTTAGGACAAATAGCATTATTAAAACATTGTTTTAATTGAGAAAAATGAGCCCATATCCCACCACTCTGATTTTGTTCCTTCAGATCCTAGTTCTGTGCATGAATAATGTGTAAACAAAAGTATTTATTCTTTGTTGTAAGCTGGGGTGAGTCACTGACTTTTGTTCTGATTGGTCTTTAGATATTAGTTGCTGCTTTGACATTTTTCCTTGGGAAAGATGAAGAGGAGAAACAGGACAGCGACTCAGAGTCTGAGGTTATACGTTCAACAGTAGATGCTTTCTTAGGTTTACAGTCTATCAGATTTCATTTTTGCTCTCAGTACAGATTGTAAAATCCATGACTGCTCAAGTTAGAAAGAAACTTACATGTCGCCTTTATCTTTTATTGTGTTCTGCCATGCTGAGATTTTATCGTTTAGAATTTGTCACTTACATTCACTAAGATTGGCTAAAGAACTAATAAAAGTTAGACTCATTCAGCCTTGTTCTTAGTTCCAAAGCTAACCTTTATCTCACTATATAAACTTAGAATGGAAATTGCTGCCAGCATATTTTTTGAGATTATGTCAACATTATAGAGAATTCAGAGAAGGAGAGGAATAATATCATGGCATCTTTAAAAGGCAAAATCAAGATTTATGATGTCATGAAATTTTTTTATTAAAAAATATTTTTTAGGGGTGCCTGAGTGGTGCAGTCGGTTAAGTGTCCAACTCTTGATTTTTGCTCAGATCATGATCTCACGGTTCGTGAGTTCCAGCCCCACATTGGGCTCTGCATTAACAGAGTGGAGGCTGCTTAAGATTCTCTCTCTCCCTCTCTGTCCCTCCCTCACTTGGTTGCGCACTCACTTGCTCTCTCAAAATGAATAAACTTAATATTTTTTTATTAAAATCAAAATGGAAAAATTCTAAGAAAAAATACCCTTTCCCATTTTAGCATTTTGGTAATAAGAATACTGGAATTTATAATAAGATCTTTTAATTCATTTTATTATTTTATTAAGTAATGTATGAACAATATATTCTTATTGTAAAAGATTTCAGATATTCTAGATACAATAAAAGTTTTCTTAACCTTGTCTTATTTCCACTTCCTAGTTCCATCTTCACAGATAACCATCCTGTTTCGTGTGTATTTATATACGGATGTGTGTGTATTGTCTTATGTATATATTAGGTCTTTGAAATATACATAAATAACATATATATTACTCTGCAACTGCTTTCTTTGTGTCATATATATAGATATACTGATGCATTTAGATCTTCTAAGTACATACAGATCTACCTCATTGTTTTAACCTTCACATATTTCAGAATATGAATGTATTATAGCTTAAGCATTTTCCTCATGATATTATTTCCAATTTCTTTCAATTAAAAACAAAGTTGTATTCTATACTTTGATAAAATTGAAAGCAAAATATAAAAGCAAAAATACGTGTTGCAGTGAAAATCTTTGTATGTACCTGTTTGTACACATGAGCAGATACTTTTTATTGAATTTTAAGTCATGCTCATTTTTTATAGTGGTTGCAGAGCATAAGTACACAGAAGTCTTTGAAAGGTTTACCATTTGCTTCTGTGCAGATTTTCCTTGTTTACAAAGTAGTCTCTTCTTCAGGATGAAGGACCAACAGCAAGAGACCTGCTAGTGCAATATGCCACAGGGAAAAAAAGTTCCAAAAACAAGAAAAGGTTGGAAAAGGCTATGAAAGTGCTCAAGGTGAGACTCATACCTGGAAAATGTGGTAGGAGTGATTAGACTATAGAATATGGGGTTTTTAGTGGAAGCTGTTAAGAATTTGAAATGAAGAAATAGCATTTCTGAAAGACTTAGAAATGTGTGATGAATTTTTAAGTACTAGTTTTTTAGGTGACTAAATGTTTTCAACTCTAGCAAAATCTATACCTTGAATAAATTAATTTGCTTAAATTCACTTTTCACTTGTCCTAAGCAAGATGACCTATATTAGGGTATTTTTGCTAAACTTACCTTCTCAGGAGAGTACACAAATAAAATACATTTTAAATTTTGTTATATTTGGTTATTCTGAAAACTCATTAATTTGGCCCTTCTGTGTTTTTTTTGTTTATATTTCTAAATTCCTTTAAGTCTTAACAGGTGCTATTTGCTGGAACATTCCTGAGATTTAATGTTAAAAGATAAAAACCACCTTTTGTTCTAGTTGAAAGAAAGGTTTTTGGAACAGATTTGTTGTGGGTTCCCCGCCCCCAATAGTCTGATGTAATGTAAATGTTTTTCCTCTCACTTTATTGCAGAAACAAAAAAAGAAGAAAAAACCAGAGGTGTTTAACTTTTCAGCTATTCATTTGATTCATGATCCCCAAGGTATTATAATTATGACTTCCCAAGTTCCGTTTTGGCCTTATCTCTGCCTGTTACCAGGGAATATAAGATCTCTGGCACTTACTAGACAATCAGTAATTGTTTAGTTGTTACTGGTTGGGTATAACCAATGTGGAAGAATAGCTCTTTGCTTCATGTCTTTAACAACAACATAGCGCTAGGACATTGTACTTGACTAAATGAAAAATTGATAGTCTTTTGTTGGTGCAGATTCTGATTTAGTAGGTCTAGGGTGGGGCCTGAGATTCTGTGTTTCTAGCAAGCTACCAGGTGGACCCACTACTGCTGGTCTGCAGACCACGCTTTGGGAGGCACGCTCTAGCAAACTGTTAAGTGGAGCTCCAAACAGTCATTCAAGATGTTGATGCTAAAATTTGGGGGACTTAAGACTTGACTTTGAGCACCATTGACAGTATATTCACCTGTGTGTGAATCTCTTCACCTTCCGTCATGCTGCTGTTCTTACCATCCTGGTTTAGCAGAGTGTTCTCAGGTTCAACTGTACCAGTCACTGATCTAACCGCTACCTTTCTCTACACCTGTTAGACAATGTTGTATAGACTGTGGACTTACAGTGGACTTCTCTGATACTCTCCTTTCCAGATTTTGCAGAAAAACTACTAAAGCAGCTAGAGAGCTCTAAGGAGAGGTTTGAGGTGAAAATGATGCTCATGAACCTCATCTCCAGATTGGTGGGAATTCATGAGGTTTGCATTCCATTATGTTTCTCATTTTGGTGAATATTAGAAGTAGAATCATTCATGGTAAAAGGAAAGCCATTAAGGTAGAACTGTGGCTTACTTTTATCTCTTAAAACCACTTAAACCCATATAATTTACAGAAGAATAAAATCTTTCACTCTGAAAATAGCTGTTTTTATAATTTTGTTTTCTTATCAGTAAGTACGGATGTTAAATTGTACATATATTCAGTTTATGGACAGACTGTTTTGTGTTCTGTGTTTCTACTATTTATTTGTTTTGCATATACATTTTTCTGAGCCAACGTAAACTGGATATTTTTATTGATCATTACTACATTTTGCAGTTTGTTTACCTCTTTATAGCTTTCCTGACTTTCAGACCACTCTGGTAAGGAGGTTGTCATGTTTGCAGAGTTGAATTCTCTTGTCATTTATTTCATACTGAATTAAATTACAGAAGCTCCTTGGTGGTATTGTGTGTGTGTATCTATACACACACACACACACACACACATATTGTGTGTGTAGATCTATACACACACACATACATACACACATATATACATATGCACACATATATGTGTACACACACATTATATATATATATATACACACACACACATACATACATACATACATATGGTATACACATGGAAACTTCACACATACTCATAGACTGCTATTGTAGAAAAGGAGAGATTTCGAAAAGGTTAGACCACTGAAGAAATGGCCATTGAGGTTGTTGCCTATCATTTTGCTCTTGAGATGTACTGCTCTCTACATCATGGGATGTGTTACTTTCTTCAAAAAGTTTTTTTTTTTAAGCAAAAAAAAGTAAAACAGGTTTACTGAAAATCTAGCAGTGTCGACATACATTGTTAAAGATGAAAGTACCCATGAATGAAAGCACTTGTTCCCTTTTCCTAAGACTTAACATTTTAGTGAATAGAATGCTTTTTTTCCATGAGCTGTAGTCCAACAGCAGGATTACCAGGTCAATTTATGTTATATTTGTGCAGAAATTTCCTGTCAGACCTGAATTTGAGCTTGATCGGAAAGCAGAAGTGATGTGTAACTTAAGCATGGTTTGTTAGAAATGATAACTAGAGTTTCACAACTGACTGTAATTGAGCGTCCATTTTTATATTGAACGTAAGTCTTCCTTGTTACTTGTCCGGTCTTGGTTTTGCTCTGTGGCTAAATAGAAAAAATTAATTAATTTGTTCTGATATGATGAACTTTGAGAAAGAGCAGTCCATCTCCATAGTTTCTCTTCCTGAAGTTCAAGATTACAGCTGGTTTGGTGAACATGTTGTCATATATTTAAATGTCAAATCACTATGTTGTACACCTGAAACTAATACAATATTGCTCGTGAGCTGTACTGCTGTTTTTAAAAAAAGAATACAGTTGCTTTAATAACTAGATCCTGTCACTTTTATTTAGGTAGACTCCAGAGTGCTAGTGCTTTCTCCCTAAAATATAGATCTCAGAGTAATTCCTCCAGTGTGATTGGACTGGTGTCCAGTAATAAAATGAGAACTGTAGGGTTTGGGTGATGAAATTATACCAGGGGCGCTATTCAGATTTGAATTACTCTTTGATCCCTTACTTTGAAGCCTTAATATCATTGCTTTTCCTTCTGGTAATCCTTTTGATCTTTGAAGACTTAAAAAAAATTCGTTCTGCAGCCACACCAGTTTTAAAAGTAGAAGAATGTTACATTGGGTTGACTTTTCCCCTCCTCTGGTTTATTCTGCATATACTTTCTTCTTTCTTGATATAATGAGGATAGCAGCATAGGCTCCCTTTCCTTGGGTAATACAGCACATCAAATCGTCTTGGGGCATGAATGCTTGTTGAGAAAAATCTTGTTGAGAAAAATGCTTGTTGAGAAAAAAGTAAAAAATGATCCCCAGTTAGTTGAACGTGATGATAAAATTGTGTTAGGGAGAAATGAAACTCTACAGCTGCAGTTATGTAAATATTAAAGTCAGTGCATTCTTTCTGCAGCTTTTTCTCTTCAACTTCTATCCCTTTGTGCAAAGATTTCTGCAGCCCCACCAAAGAGGTAAGCCTCCCACCTGCCATTTTCCTTTGGTGGCCTTGGGTTTAGAGTAGCCATCCCAGTCTTTTGTTCCGTAATTATTAAAGAATTAGGAGTGTGTTTCAGAGAAGGAGAGAGAAACCCTTATGTGTTCTTTCCCACAATCTGCTGTGGGTTAATTGTTCTCATCAAGTTAACAAGGTTATTTTTGGAAAACAAAAAACTGGATTCTTAAAGCAAGTCTTTTTGTAATACCATGAATACTCAGGTAGAAAATTGTGAAAAAAGAAATCTGACCTTCTACTGTAACTTTGTAATAGATATCAGGATTTTATCTTATTGTTATCATTGCCCTCGTGTATTTGCACATAAAAACAACATAAGAGCAGGAAAGAAGAGATGGTTGTTTTGCCTTTAAACTTAAACCAAGATAAGAAGGAAGCCAGCATTTGTTAAACATCTAACCTGAGCCAAGCTCAGTGCCGTGCCACGCACTGTGCAAAGTGCTTTACATACAGCATCTCATCAGATCCTCACTTCAGTCCTGCAAGGTATAGAAATAAAAAAGACCAGGCAAATAAATGGCAAATTAGGATTCACCTCACTTCTTTCTTTTGCCTAATTTATACTGCCTGCCCCTTTCAAAGAGAGTGTGTGTATGTATTTATGTTCGTAGTCATTCATTCATTTAGTGATTTCTAATCTGGGCACTGAGTTAGACACTCAGAATTTCACAGTGAGCATGAAAGTGAACACAGTGAGCACCTTTGTAGAGCTTGCATTCTAGAGGGAGATCCAGAGAGTACTATGTGTCCAGTGTCCAAGTGAAGATAAGTCTTTTGAGTAAAAAGAAAGCAGAGTTAAGATGATAGGGAGCACTGGGGTAGATTCTAGTTAGATTATGTCAGGAAAGACATTTTGATAAGGCAGCAGTTGAGCAGGGACCTGACGGAAGTGAAAGAGTGAGCCATGCAGACACCTGAGGGTTGGGCGTTCCAGCTAGACTTAGCAATAGGATTAAGGGCCAGAATATGCTTCCCATGTTTGCTCTTAGTCCTGAGAGGCAGAGCAGTAAACTGACTATGATCTTTCTGATCTCTTACATTTTTAGAGGTAACAAAGATTCTTCTGTTTGCTGCCCAAGCATCTCATCACTTAGTACCCCCAGAGGTGAGAACTCTTAAACCTTATTTCTGTCTGCATAGCAGTGCCACTATTAAGTATATCATGGTGGCTATTCCCACAGAGATTACTGCTCCCCTGTGTCACTTTTCTTCAAAGTGAGAAGAAGAGACACTAACTCTTAAGGAGATAGATACAGAGGTTTAGTTATAGAAACTGAAAAAAAATTTTTACTATAGAAAAGCAAAGTTTGTTTTAGAGAAGTTGTTGAGAATTCTCACTTTAATTGCCAAAGCTTGGGAGATCAAGAGTTATCGGTAAATTTATAGTGAATATTTTTCAAAGCTGATCATTCCTTTCTTTGATTAAAATAGCATTGAATTGTCCTGGGTCAAAACAATTTTTTAAATCCATATTGGAGGGGCGCCTGGGTGGCTCAGTCGGTTAAGCGTCCGACTTCAGCTCAGATCACGATCTCGCGGTCCGCGAGTTCGAGCCCCGCGTCGGGCTCTGGGCTGATGGCTCAGAGCCTGGAGCCTGCTTCCGATTCTGTGTCTCCCTCTCTCTCTGCCCCTCCCCCATTCATGCTCTGTCTCTCTCTGTCTCAAAAATAAATAAACGTTAAAAAAAAAAAATTTAAATCCATATTGGAAAATAATATTGAAGGGGAACAAAATTTAATCTGAGGATAACCAAGAAGCCTGCAACCCAACGTACTTTTATCTGTCTTCCTCAGTCTTGATTCCTTCCTCCTCCCAAAATGAAGATGGAAGGCTGGTTTTTCACTGTGAATCGTCTGTTGTCCCTTAATCCTCAAGTGTTTGAGTTGGTGGAGACATTTTATCAGCTCTCATCTTTCCTTTCTTTCCCGATTCAGATCATTCAGTCATTGCTCATGACTGTGGCCAACAATTTTGTCACCGACAAGAACTCTGGAGAGGTCATGACAGTAGGGTATGTAGAACGTGCCTGCAGGAAGTGGGTATGTTTTCAATGTACGGTTGGCCCTAGAAGCCCTATAAAACCCAACTTATGTACCTTTGATTTGGTCTTTTTTAGGAAACCTTAGACTGACCCATCTGTGATTGCTGTTTGGGTTTTTTAAATTCATTTTCCTTTTCTAGAATCAATGCTATAAAAGAGATAACAGCTCGATGTCCTCTAGCCATGACTGAAGAACTTCTCCAAGACCTGGCTCAGTATAAAACACACAAAGATAAGAGTAAGTTGCATGTTATTCTCTGTAGATCAAATATTGAGTGACTCTTTTTTCTCAGTAGCCTCTTTGCTCTGGAGTTTCTTTTCTTTTCTTTTTTAAAAAATGATTATTTTTGAGAGAGAGCACATGCGCTCACATGTGAGTGGGGGAGGGCAGAGAGAGAGGGAGAGAGAATCTCAAGCAGGCTCTGCACTGACATAGGACTCAATCTGTGAGTCATGAGATCATGACCTAAGCCTAAATTAAGAGTCGGATGCTTAACCGACTGAGCCACCCCGCTCTGGAGTTTCTAATTAAAGGTGTTATTTTACAGATGTGATGATGTCTGCTAGAACTTTGATTCAGCTCTTCCGAACACTGAATCCTCAGATGTTGCAAAAGAAATTCCGGGTAGGTGAAATATGCATATGTTGATCTAAAGGTCAGGGTCTTAGAAGGGGAGAATAATTTCCTACAGGATGAGTTTTAGTGTTTGTGATGCTTCGGCTATGAGTATTGGTTAATTGTATTCTTTAAGCTCAGAATACAATTGATTGAATACCATTGTCTCAAATATTTTGTAGTTGGCATGTGCTCTTTGATGCTGACTCTTTTTTTAAATATATATATTTTTTAGTTTATTTATTTATTTTGAGAGAGAGCATGTATGCGTAGAAGGGCAGAGAGAGAGAGAGAGAGAGAGAGAGAAGCCCAAGCAGGCCTTGTGCAGTCAGTGCAGAACCCAACATGGAACTCAATCTGACAACCGTGAGATCATGACCTGAGCGGAAATTAAGAGTCAGACACTTAAATGATTAAGCCACCTGAGTGCCCTTCTAAGAACCTTATTAAAAACAATTTCCTTTCCTTTAGGGTAAGCCTACAGAGGCCTCCATAGAAGCAAGAGTGCAAGAATATGGAGAATTAGATGCTAAAGATTACATTCCAGGAGCAGAAGTTCTAGAAGTTGAAAAAGAAGAGAATGCTGAAAATGATGAAGGTTCATTTTCATTTTACCATTTTCCAGGATAAAATCACTCCTGTACTTTATTGACCTTGAAATCTTTATGTTGATTGAACACTCATTCAGCAGATATTTATTAGGCAAGGACTGTGTGCTAAGCACTGTTACAAGCATTGGGGATCAAAGGGCATCCATCGTTCCTACACTTAGGAAACTTACATTGTAGTGTAGATGTCTGTTCATATCCTCCAGGGAAGCTGCTCCTTATCAAGATCATACGGGGCACTTGGGAACGATAATGGCTTTCGGGTTTTTGCCTAGAAAAAAATAATGAAGGTTAGTCATAAACAGTCCTCCAAGACTCCTTGGTGAAGGAGAACACTTGGTGAACTTTTTGAAGAATACTTAATTTCCAAAGTTAGTGTTTATTACCTTGGTTGCTAGAGTCCTATCTTCTTCCTGTTAGTTCATTTGTTATATTAACAAAACTTTTTAAAGCGTTACTTGTGAGCTAGCCACTGTCAATATGAAGAAGAATGATATGGTCCCTGCTCTTGAAGGCTTTTCATAAATAGCTCTGCATGAGCAAAGCCCTGAAGTATTTAGGAAACTATTATTAATGTAGGATACAGGGTGGGATATAGCAAGATACCAGACTAGACATAGAATTGGGGTCTTATCGGGTGTGGTTGTATATATGCTATACCAAAGAGCTGAGACACTCTAATGGGGAACAACTGAAAAATTGCAAGTGTCTGTGATTTTGAAAGCTTACTGTGACTCCATTAAGAACTAATATCTCTTCATTGAGGTATCTACCAGGTTCCTTCACATCCAGAATCTATGACTTCAGTTGTCTGAATGATTGTTGCTCACTAGTTTCTAAAAACATGTATAAATATGCTTAGATGAGTTGTCAGATACTTGCTGTGTGGCCAAGATAAATGTACAGGTGCAATTTTGATGGACATGGTTTGGTGGAAAGATCATGGACTCTACAGTTAGACATGATTTTCATTTCATCGTAGACTGCATTTTCTAGCAGTGTGGCTCGGGGCAGGTAACTTGTATGGTCTGTTCCTCTTCTGTTGAGTTGTGAGAGGTAAATGATTATAAGATTTTAGCTCATGGTAGATCATGGTCAATGTTTATTATGCATTCCATAAAGTAATTAAATTGATGTGGCTTATTTAACAATAAATATTGCTTGATTCTTGGTCAATAGAGCTCCAGTGACTTTGATTACCTTACTTTTGCTTGATTTATTTCAACTCCCCCTGAGTACTAACAGTGTGCTGCTTCTCACACAGATGGGTGGGAGACCACCAGTCTCAGTGAGGAGGCAGATGCCGATGGTGAGTGGGTTGATGTGCACCACTCTTCTGATGAAGAACAGCAAGAAATCGTAAGTCCTAAAATTACCTTGTGCAAGTACGTCACTTGGATGTTTATTAACACCTAATTCATGGTGGGCCTTGTTGGGGTTCTAAGCTCTCGCTTGAGCTAGTAGCTCTTTAAACCTTTGTTGTGTGTTTTCAAGTCCAAGAAGCTCAACAGCATGCCCATGGACGAGCGGAGAGCCAAAGCTGCGGCCGTTAGCACTAGCCGAGTTTTAACTCAGGAAGACTTCCAGAAAATCCGCATGGCCCAAATGAGGAAAGAACTTGACGCTGCACCAGGGAAGGCCCAAAAGAGGAAACACATTGAAATAGATAGTGATGAGGAGCCCAGGTAAAACGACACATACACCAAGTCTTCTTCAGTCAGCTCATGTGACGATGAAAGGGTTACAGAAAGGAGTTCCACCCTTGTTTCATATTGTATTTGTTCTTCACCTCAGGGGTGAGTTACTTTCTCTTCGGGACATTGAACGCCTTCATAAAAAACCAAAGTCTGACAAGGAGACAAGACTAGCAACGGCAATGGTAAGTGAGGCATACATATCGTTCCCTTCAAACAAAAAGCAAATAAGCTGAAAAATTAAATAAAGTGAATAGCCACAGAATGGCAGTATTTTATTTTGATGTTTTAAATAAAGGTATAATTAACGTAGAGTAAAATGCACAGATATTTGGTGTTCTGTTAGATGAGTTTTAACAACTAGATAACCATGCAGCCACCATCAAAAACAAGATGTAGAACACAGAAAGGCAATAGTACGTGTTCTGGTATCTGGGAGGCATCCAAGCTATTAGGAAAGCAGGGGAATGTTTAATAGTCACTAATGAAAAGCTTCCGGCAAGTGCTGTGGCTATGATTGCACATTTCCAACATTTCCTACTGCCTACTATTTCCGCTTTCTTTTCTATACATTTGTTTTAAGCACCATCCCATACTGGTTCCACGTCACCCTGTGCATTCATCCCATTTGTACTGAAACCTGATTAGATAAGTTTAAAAATCCATGTTCTTTCTTCCCCACCTTTTCGTATTCTATCGCTCCTTCCTGAAATGCTCTACCCTTCCCCTCCTTTCTCCCACCATGAATGCCTTGATCCTATAATAAACAGTTTACCCGTCTCCCTTTCTAGGAAGCTTCTCTGACCTGACCAGCTGAATTATGACCTTTTCTTCTGCTGAGCTTCCCTTGCCCCATTACAATATATAATGGTCATTTCTCCCCTGGACTGAGTCACTGGAGAGCAAGGACTGAGTTACATCAATCTTTTTTGTCCTTGGCACCCAGGAGAGTGCCTGGCACGGAGGAGACACATATGTGGATTAGATAACTCTTGAAGTGTTTTTTTGTGTATGCTAATAGGCTGGGAAGACAGACCGAAAAGAATTTGTGAGGAAGAAAACCAAAATGAACCCATTTTCTAGTTCCACAAATAAAGAGAAGAAAAAACAGAAGAACTTCATGATGATGCGGTATAGCCATAATGTCCGGTCAAAGAACAAGCGTTCCTTCCGAGAAAAGCAGGTGAGTTCAACTTGAAGCTTGATTGGTTAGAATACTGTTGTCATTTTAACACTTCTTTACTCAAAACAGAGTTGTGCCTTTTAGGACCTTGTGTTAGGATTAATGGGGAGCATTATTAGAGAACATGGAGAGGTGACAAGTGGTCAGGGCATGTAAATCCTACACCTGACGTGGCTGAGATTCAGCTGTGTGACCAAAGGAGAGTCTATTTTCCTCCTCTATAACTGCAGGAGTGGAAGCTAGATGGCCCGTAAGATCATCCCTATGCTAAAATTCTTGACATTGCATCTGTGAAACATAATATCAAGATCCTTCCTAATGTGCCCTTTTGCAAAACTTTTATGTTTACAGGTTTTGGGGATTTCATTTTATCCATTTGTGGTCTTTTATATGTAGTCCTGTGTGACTCCGTTGCCTTGCTTATTTTATTTGCTATAATAAAACAAATTCATGTTTTCGTCTCTTTCTCTACGGAGGGTGTACCAGAGTATATTTTAAATATATTCTGAAGGATCACCAGGAAATCAAGTTAGGACGAAACAAGTGTTCCTAAGTTGCTAGCCAAAGATGAGTGTGCCAGACAGACATGTTAATGGCCAGCTTTCCAGGGCAGTGTTTCATTTGTGCAGCCACCCAGGCAGTAGTAACTGAATTAAGGTGCCATTTAAAAATCTACCTATCTGCTTATTTAATCTTTCTAGTTCTAAACTATGTCCAACAACATCATGTAAATAACAAAGTGCCAGCATTTTGAATAGAGGTTGTTGAAATCAAGGTGAAAAGAAAGGTGCAGTTTCAGATTATAAATACCTGAATTTTGCCAATTCAATTTAAATTCATGGTTGAACCGGGGCGCCTGGGTGGCTCAGTCGGTTAAGTGTCCGACTTCGGCTCAGGTCATGATCTCACGGTCCGTGAGTTCGAGCCCCGCGTCGGGCTCTGTGCTGACCGCTCAGAGCCTGGAGCCTGTTTCCGATTCTGTGTCTCCCTCTCTCTCTGATCCTCCCCTGTTCATGCTCTGTCTCTCTCTGTCTCAAAAATAAATAAACGTTAAAAAAAATTTTTTTTAATAAATAAATTAATTAATTAATTAATTAATTAATTCATGGTTGAATTGATTCAGTCCATTAGCTTATCCTTCAGCAGACCTTTGTAAGATTTGAGGGTGGAGGAAATAGAATCACTGAGTTCCACCATGGTTTGTTCCTTCTTTCATTATGCAGTTTTTGTGACCTTGCTACATTTTGTGACAGTGTTCCCCTGCTTCTTACTTCCTCTGTTGTTTTACTGAGCCTTTTTTGGCATGATTTGGAAGCCTTGATTTGGAAGCCTCGTTTTGTTCCTTGCCAGCACCTCTTGAGTCATGAAGCTCCTCTCTCAAAGACTAAAGAATTTTTTATTTAAGAGTTCATTGGACATATGCACTTGTTGGTTCAAGAATGTTTTTTCCTTGTTCTCCCGTTTTCTTGCCATTTGGAACCAAAAATTAATCTGAATTTCTGTTTATGTGTCCTTGCTCTATATTTTCTTCAAGGTATCTCTGTTACAAAACTTAACTCTAGGTTCCTAATTTTCTTATTCTCTCCTTCACTCTAGACCAGCACTGCCCAATAGAAATTCAATACAGACCACATGTATAATTTTAAAATAAAAAAGTAAAAAGAAAAAGGTGAAATTAATTTTAGTAATAGATCTTATTTAACCTAATATATCTGAAATAGTATCATTTCAGTATGTAATCAATATGAAAATTATGAGTGAGATACTATACCTTCTTGTTTTTGAACTAATTGATATCCAGTGTGTGTTTTACACTTGTGGCACATCTCAGTTTGGACTGGCTATTTTTCAAATGTCCAAAAGCCACATGCAGTTAGGGGTTACTCTATTGGGCAGTGCAACTTTAGAGCATCCCCAAAACTGACCTGTGACCCTAAAATAGAAAAGCTCAGTTCAGTTTACCTTTTGTGTGTGTTTTTTTTTCTACTCACACAGAACACTTCTAACATTTATGGTCACCAAATATGTGGTGATTTTTTTCCCCCACACAAGCAATTCTCTGCAGTACTGGCTAGTGTCCTACAATTTAACTCAATTCTGGCATTGTTTTCCTAGAAATAGTGTCAGATCCCACAGGTTAAGGGCTCAGCCCCATGAGACTATACTTGCCACCTCCCCAAGTGTTCCTCCCCCACCTCGTGCATGCATACATACATACATGCACACACTTCAGAAACCAGTCTCAAGCCCAGTGTTTCTGACTAGTCACCTCCTCCTTGGTTTGATTAATTTGCTACAGCTGCTTTCAGGACTCAGGAAAACCATTACTTAAGTTTACCAGTTGATTAAAGTATATGATAAAGGATACAGATGAATAGCCAGATGAAGAGATACATAGGGCAGGGTCTGGGAGGGCCCCACATGCAGAAGTTTCTGTCCCTGTGGAGTTGGGGTACATCTCCCTCCTGGTGTGAATGTGTTCGCCAGCCTGGAAGCTGTCAGAACCTCACACTACAGGGTTTTTTTTTTTTAGACTTCACCACATAGGTATGATCGATTATTCATTCTGTACCTAGCCTCTTTCTCTTCTCTGGAGAAGTTTGTATGTTGGGGGGCAGGGATTGCTGAAAATGCCAAGGTATTTTTTTTTTAATGTTTATTTATTTTTGAAAGAAGACAGAGCATTAGTGGGAAAGGGGCAGAGAGACAGGGAGACACAGAATCCAAGCAGGCTCCAGGCTCTGAGCTGTCAGCACAGAGCCTGATGCGGGACCCAAACTCACGAAACTACAAGACCATGACCCAAGCTGCAGTTGGCTGCTTACCTGACTGAGCCACCCAGGAGCCCTGAAAATTCCAAGTTTCTAATCATGGCTTGGTCTTTCTTGGACCAGCCCCCATCCAGGAGCCCACCTAGTTGCCTCATTAGAACAAAAGATGCTCTTAGGGCTCTTATCACTTAGGAATTTACAGGGGTTTGGGGAGCTGTGTGTCAGGGAGAGGGTCAAAAACAAATATTAAAACGAGATGCTCTTATCACTTAGGAAATTACCAAAGTTTGAGGAGCTCTATGCCAGGAACCAGGGGCAGAGACCAATATGTATATTCTATTATCTTACACACCCAAGCTTCCTCTGGGAACGGAGCATCACATTTCATACCCCTTCTGTCCCTTGGTGACATTTTATTCTAAATAAAAGGGTCTTACATGGCTTGAAAGTGTACATGAGGTCTTCCTGTAAATTTTTAGAATATTCTCATAGAATATGTAAAAAAGAGGTGAGACTAGAAAAGGCAGGTGAAGCACATGGCAGAGAAAGAGGGGAGGATGGATCTTCCAGTGAAGCCTTAGGAAAGGTAAAGGAAGAGGAGGGAGAATATACTTTTCAAACGATGGCATTTGAAGGGAGAAGGAAACTGAGATACGTGTGAGAATAGCGAGTAGCCTGTGCTTTATTACAAAGTTTAATGAGCAGAATTAAGTCCGTGTAACCTTGGGTTACAACAACATCATTAGCTAATGTACAGTTCTTACTGGAGAGCTTTCCATTTTTTAACTCTGTTAGTCAGTGTGCAACAATATGAGCAGGTACTGTGATCTTATATTTTATATTTTACAGATGAGACTGTAAGACAGATGAGTCTGAGAAATACCTCCTCAGCCATGAAAGTTAGGCTAAAATGAGCTTGTTAATTTTTCTACCTTCAGTATCTATCCTCGATCTCTTCTATCTACAAAGACATTCCAAGACCCAGATATAAATAAAGGCAAGGAGTCAATACCTTAAAATCATAAAATCCAAAAAGCTTGAACATTTAAGACGTAGAGTAACTTCCACGCCCCAAACATGCTTTAACAAAGCAAACAAACAAAAACACATACCTTGTTGAAATTCAAAAGACATCTTAAAAATTTCTAGGAACCAAAGAATAGTGCTTGAGAGTTCGTGAAATAGTATCTGTCACACACCCAAGACACACACACACTTAATCATCTCAGGAGGATTTGTTGACCGGAGTCCATTGTTGTACGTCTCCATATAACCAAATTAGGATAATGGGGTACCCAAGAGTTCCCATGTTTAGATATTTTTTCTTATGTTCCAGCTGGCACTACGAGATGCACTTTTGAAAAAGAGAAAAAGAATGAAGTAACCTCCAAGCAAGTTTTCCATTCCAAGAAAAATGCTACATTTGTATCGTTATTTTGAAAATTAATCAAGAATGATTGTTTACATTAAAAAGTCCCAAAGTACTGTATTGTGAAAAACACAGTAAACTTGGTAGCAACTTGGCATTATTGTTTTGGAGATAGGGAATGATGGGAATGTTTGAAATGTAAACAGTAGTGGTGGTGTTGTAAACTCATTTCCATTTGGCATTCATGCAAAAAAAAAAAAAAATGTTTTGTGCCTACTAATTGTCATTGTAGATATAAAAATTAATGAGCCATAACCCCTCACAGAAGGCATTCACAGCCTATTTGGGACATAGGAGGGGGCCGATGTGTGTTGTATGTGTATTTATAGCGCAGTGTAAATAGTTCTCTAGTAGAGATAGGTCCCTGCTTCTCTGGGGTCATAGAGGACTCTGCAGGGCATGGGAGTTACATTTTCTCTTAAAACAGGACAATGTTACAAGAGTAAGAGATTCTTACTTGTATATAGGCTTACCTGCTGAAAACAGGTCCTTGCTGTACAGATTTTATGTAGACAATTTAGCTCTTTTAGTCCATCCAAAAAACTGTATTTTTTTGAATGCCAGGTATAGGCTTTTTGGTTAAGACCTCGCTTTTTAAATTGCCTTAAGTCTAAATAGTAATCTTGGAGTGTTTTTTTAGTTTGTCATTTGAGCCGCCACAGAGGAAAAAGAAATCAGATTGGTTTCTTCAGCCTGCCATCATGCTGTAATATTTTCAGCCTACTGGGCTTTGTCTCAACAAAAGTTCCTAATGTCAGATAGGTTCCGTTGTGTGTGTTGAAGTGCTGTGTTGGTCTCCCTTCCCTGGGCATGTTTGAGTAGATTTCAGGGGACACAGAGCCCTGGTCAGTCTCTCTCTGCAAGTTGTTGCATTTGGAAATAGTTTGGTGCCTTTGCCTCAGATTTCTTAGATAGGAAGATGTGGTAGATGAGAAAATTGTTCCATGTTACTTTAGAATAAAAGACAATTTTCTGCCCACCCAGAATTAGAAAGTAGCTTCTAAAACCACTTCTCTTGTTCACTTTCCGAGTTCACTTTTGGTTTCTTGGAAGAGATTCCGTGACCTTCCCCAAAGATGCCCCAGATAACTGGAGATAGTTGTGAAAATCTTGAAGTTTAATGATCAAGTTGTACTGGCCTGGTGAGAGGGGCTCTCGGAGTCAACTTTGGCAGCTTCAGTGTTTGACAGGAAGTGTCCAGTCAAATTTGAATATATCAGACCTGAAACTGCTCTCTCTCTCACTTTCTTTTTCTCTTTCTTTCTTTTTCTTTCTCCTTTTTCTAACTCTCCTTCCTCCCTCCCTCCCTCCCTCCCTCCCTCCCTCCCTCCCTTCCTTCCTTCCTTCCTTCCTTCCTTCCTTCCTTCCTTCCTTCCTTCCTTCTTTTTCTTTGAACTTTAGAACTGGGTGTCTTCTCATGTGTCTAGTTCCAGAGAGAGGTAAATAAAATTCAAAATGTCTGGGTCACCTGGGTGGCTTAGTCGGTTAAGTGTCTGACTCTAGATACCAGCTCAGGTCGTGGCCTCATGGTTTGTGAGTTTGAGCCCCTCCCAGGCTCTGCGCTGTCAGCAGAGATTCTCTCTTTCTCTCTGTCTGTCTCAAATAAATAAACTTAAAAAAAAATCCAAACTGTCATAGCAGTCAGGGTTCACAGCTTTGCTGCATGACTTGTGATTGTGCCTGGAAGTTTCATCCTTCTGGATTTTCCTACCCAACGTAGAGGCCGGGAGGCCAAAATATCCATTCTGTGCTCTGACTTCTTATCTATTGTGTCTTCACCCTGCTCTTAACTGAGGTTTATATGCAAGACAGAAAAATACCTGGTTTAAAAAGGTGCAAGTCTTGGGGCGCCTGGGTGGCTCAGTCGGTTAAGCGTCCAACTTCGGCTCAGGTCATGATCTCATGGTTTGTGGGTTTGAGCCCCGCGTTGGGCTCTGTGCTGACAGCTCAGAGCCTGGAGCCTGCTTCAGATTCTGTGTCTCCCTCACTCTGCCCCTCCCCCGCTGATGCTCTGTGTCTCTCAAAAATAAATAAACATTAAAAAAAAAAAGGTGAAAGTCTTATTTCTCTAATCCCAAAGTATCTTAATTCTATCTGATTCCTTTTATTTTATAAATTTTACCTTGAGAATATTTTCTGTGAACCTGAAGATCAGATTCTTACAAGGTTCGATGCTGTCCATGAAGGCAGAGTGACCTTCCAGAGTCATTTTGACCTTGAAGAGGTCATCAGAGTCTGAGCCTCAACTTTTCAATGTCAGTTTTTTGTCAGTACTAAGAATGGATCCATTTCGGGGATGAACTCCCATTTCCAAGCTCATACTATATATATAAAGTGATGTATAAATCTAGAATACTGATATATTTTGCATGTGATCTCAGCAAGTTCCACGAAAGGCAGAATCTGTTCTCTGCCATATCCCAGTGCTGGTTCAGTGCACAGTATGTTAGGTGCTCAAGCAAATATTTGAATACGTGATTTATTCCCTGTCAATTTTCTCTAAGTATAATACCACCCACCTCATTGTTTTGACAATTTTGAGAATGTTACAAGCACTTAGCATATTTGCCACAAAATAAGCATTCGGTAAATTTCTCATCAAAGATAGATATTAAGTTTTTATTTTTATTTTTGGCTTAATCTTGAAATGAAACAACAATTACAGTTGCTATAAATATTTATTTTACCATTCATCCATTTTGGAGAGAGTTTGTTTGAAATATAAAAAATGTAAAATGCATGAGGTATGGGTGGCAAACACAACGTTTGCGCCATATAGAAACCTTTGATCCGATTAAGGAAATAGGCTTACAAAATGACTATCTAATGCAAGCTGCTTATGGAACTATCAAAAAAGGCACAGCATAGGGCTGAGGGCATCCTAAAAAGGGGGAAGTTCAGGTGGCAGGAGGGTGAAAGGCTATTTACTAACAAACTGATGCTTATGATGAACACAGGAAAGCAGTAGGAAATAAATTACTGAATCATAAAGGAAAAGTTACAGTTTAAAAGGTGGTATAGGGGTGCCTGGGCTCAGTTGGTTAAGCGTCCGACTTCGGCTCAGGTCATGATCTTGTGATTCGTGGGTTTGAGCGCCGTGTCAGGCTCTGTGCTGACAGCTCAGAGCCTGGAGCTTGCTTCGAATTCTGTTGTCTCCTTCTCTCTCTGCCCCTCCCCCACTCGCACTCTGTATCTCTCTCTCTCTCAAAAATAAAGATTAAAAAAAGTGGTATATAATTTCTTGAAGGTTATAGTTAACATAAACTTTGTCTTCATTACCTCATTTTCTAATTCTTTGAGAATTTATAATCTACTTAAAGTGTCACATGGTGACTCAGAATTAATCAGAATGTTTAATTACAATATTCTGTTCTTCAAACTATTTTAGCTAAGCATATTTAAACTGTGTTGCCAAGGATAATAAAGTTCTACCAAGTGAATTCTTTCATTGTATAAAAATAAAAACAAAAATAATTTTTTTTTTTTTTTTTTTAGAATGTATTTTATGAGATTTTTTTTAAAGATCTTGAAAATGAATAGAAAAGTAAGGCACTGGGGCGCCTGGGTGGCGCAGTTGGTTAAGCGTCCGACTTCAGCCAGGTCACGATCTCGCGGTCCCTGAGTTCGAGCCCCTCGTCAGGCTCTGGGCTGATGGCTCGGAGCCTGGAGCCTGTTTCCGATTCTGTGTCTCCCTCTCTCTCTGCCCCTCCCCCGTTCATGCTCTGTCTCTCTCTGTCCCCAAAATAAATAAACGTTGAAAAAAAAAATTAAAAAAAAAAAAAAGTAAGGCACTGACATGGAGCCTTTTCTCTTTTATAAGGAAATAAAGTTTTCTCTCCTAGTACAGTCTTTGGTCAGTACTTATTTAAAAATGTAGATAGGGATGCCTGGGGGGATCAGTCAATTGAGTGTCAGACTTCAGCTCAGGTCATTATCTCACCATTCATGAGTTCAAGCCCCACATCAGTCTCTCTGTTGTCAGCACAGAGCCTGCTTTGGATCCTCTGTCTCCTCTCTCTCTGCCCCTCTCCTGCTTGTGCTCTGTCTCTCTCTAAAGAAATAAAGTTTAAAAATAAAAAATGTAGATAAGAACAGTAATTCTGTACTATTTAAATACCAAACATTTGTATAAGGCACTACTTATATGGTAATCTTACCCTGCAAATTTGGCTTTCATTGTTTTGTTATCCAATCTCAGTGTGGAAATGGTTAAACTGATTTATCCACATGATGAAATATTTTGAAGCTATAAAAATGTTTATAATAGGAAACGCTTATTATAAATGCAAAATACAAAATACAAAAGTATTTATAGCATAATCAAACTACACATGTAAGAAAATTAATAATAAAAGCCCAAGAGGAAATACTCTTGTTTATAAAATGGTATTGTTTTAATTTAGATTTCAGTGATTACCAGACAGGTTGAGATTGCTTCATGTAGATTTTTGCTATTTGGCTCTTTCTTTTTATAGCTCTTTATTATTATTATTATTATTAATGTTTATTTGTTTTTGAGGGAGAGAGAGAGAGCAAGCAGGGGAGGAGCAGAGAGAGGGAGACACAGAATCCGAAGCAGGCTCCAGGCTCCGAGCTGTCAGCATAGAGCCCTACACGGGGCTCGAACCCATGAACCATGAGATCATGACCTGAACCAAAGTCAGACACTTAACCAACTGAGCCACCCAGGTGTCCCACTTTTCGGGTTTTTTATTATTGATTTGCAGGAGATCTTTATATATTCTGGATATCAATTCTTTGTCAGTTACTTATGCTACACATACCTCCACAGATAGTCAGTGTCATCTTTGTGATAAACTAAGTTCCCATATATACCTTGGGTCTGGGAATTTTCAAAACCAGTCGTGGATCCTCTTTTCTTTTTTCTTTTTTTTTCTTTTTGCATGTGATTATCTAGTTGTTCCAGCACCATTTTTTTTTTCGAGAGAGGGCACAAGTGAGCGAGGGGGCAGAGAGGGAGAGAAGCGGTGAGTCCTTAAGCTCACCTGATGTGGGGCTTGAACTCACAAACAGTGAGATCATGACCTGAGCTAAATTCCGATGCTTAACTCACTGAACCACCCAGGCACCCCCTGGATCCTTTTTTTAAAATAGGCTATTTTTAAGAGCAGTTTTAGGTTCGCAACAAAACTGAGTACACCAGAGTTATACATTCGTTACAGTTAATGAATCTGCATCATTATCCCCACAAGTCATAGCTTACATTA